CTGAAAAGAGTTATAGTGATTCAAACTCGAAGTTCGAAAAAGGGCAGAACTTTTGAAACAACCCAATAGATGTATATTCCTCCACCTGTGATACACTATTTTTACCCCCTCTCACCGAAAAAAATGACGGCCAAGGAAGTTTTTGAAAGGGGTACTACTTTTTTTATTGATCTATAGTTGGTAATCGAAAACTTAATTCGTGAAATCTGAGGTCTTCAATGATGAGTTTTGACTGAACAATGATATTTTTGTGAAAAGTGTCCAGTGAAAAATTGCCTGAAAAATGTCCAACCACCAGCAAAACCCTAGCCAAGCTCCCTAAACTTTATTGCCATCAAAAAACGGATAAGACCACGCACTGAGAGCATTTCATTGAAACGAATGTTGCGAAAATCTTGCGATGGAACAGCTGTGATTAATGGCTCTCGCAGGCGAAAAATTTCTCCGTTTCCTTGGAAATCAAGTGATTGAGAAAGTTCTCACCTGATAAGCGTTCGCACCAAACGAGGCTAAGAAGCAGAACAGACTCAGAACCGATGCTGAGACCAGAATCCATCTATAGCTTTTTGACAATGCTTGAATCACCCATGATGAGAATGATAATGGCGACCAGAAAGAAAGCGAAACATTATTGGCAGATGTGACATGGACCTAAAAAGCGACGTTAGAATAACATGCTCCAAGACACAAAATCTGACCTGTTCTTCAAGGTTATCTGCCCAAGAGGCGATTTGCTCATCAGTGATGCCTTCTCTCAACTTGAACGAGAGGAGCAAAGCTTGAGCACGCGAAATTGCACCATCCGAGTCGGTTTCGACTCCTGCAATCGATAATTACCGTACGGATGCACATTCGATTGGGGTTATCGTAGTTCAAATATACCTCCAATGGCTGATCCCAGATAAACGCGACTTAAATTAGTGGAATCTTTGCTCATGCTGACAAACGTCTCAGGATAAGTGAGAGCAACCTAAATAATTGACTGTTGTGCAGAAAGCTCAAACATTTTGATGAAAAAGAATATAAGAAAGCATTGAATGAGCATCAGGATCAGATTCAGTAAGAAATGTGATTAAGTTTGCCATAAAATCTCCCACCTGTGGACTCTTCTTGATAATTTTATCGACCATCTCCTTCTCCAGTTCGCAATCTGGTGAACATACTTCCAAGAGCTAGAAAAGTGCTAGACTTTTTAAGTTTCTAGAGAGAATGAGAAACTCTAGAGCACAGCGAAGGCGACCCACCTCTTTATTTCCAACTGGATAATTATCCAACCGTTTCTTTAGTGCAGAATAGGCTAAAACCGCGTCTTTGCGTAAAATTGTGTCCCTGGCTAATCTAAAAATAAACTCATGATTTTTTCTTTGAAAGACTGCTGACCATAAAAAATTGTTTGCCCACATCTTGTGAATACTAACTCATTCATTCATTCATTCATTCATTCATTCAT